TAGTAAAGACGAAATTAAATTCTGTGTTATTCATAAAAAGGCCTTTTCAAAAGTGGGCCTATAAGAAACATTAGCTGCCTTCATGTCTTGTATACCTTCTCCTCTGGTCCTTTCAGCCTGCGCCTTCTGTCAGCTTCCACACGCCTGAGGCAGGAGACCTTAGACTCAGAGACGATTCACTCCAGCCTGGAGCTCCACTCTCCCCAGTATACACTGTCCAAATACCGTTGTTAGTGTACTAGGGAAATGTGATAGTTCTTCCTGCATGGATTCTCTAATCTTTCTGGGCACCAGCATCATGGTCAAGCTCAGTCCTCCTTGTGCCTCAGTCCTGATCCCCTCTCTTGCCTGTTAATCCCATATGTCAGTCACCTAGCTCATCATGAACCAGCGTGGCCCTTTCTCTCTTCCTAGACCTGTCTCTACCTCTCAAAGCTGGCCCTACCCATCCTTGAAGAGTCCCTCCTCCACAAGAACCCCCCCACAACTGTCAAACCGGTGCACATTTTGCTAGGGCTTCTAAGTTTTGAATTCCAACTCTGCCCCAGAACTTTTCCCCACACCCGCAATGCTTCTTACTTGGAGAAAAGGTAGAATTATGTTTTGGTTTTTGTTTTATTTCAGCCTTTCTATTTCCTGTTTCTGTGGTAGCTTTTCAGCATTTATTGTTATGTGTCTTAAAGGCTATCAAGTACACAAAGGAATGGATGGTTAGGAAGAAGCTGTAGACGACTAACTGTAATGTATCTCCTTTCTAGTCTCTCAGTCCTTTGCCTGAGGATGGACGGTTGGTGTGCTATGGAACAGGCAAGGCAGACGGTTACTTGAGGCAAGAACCAGAAGAATGTGCTCCAAATAGAGGCCGCTTGGGGGAAGAGTGGGGAGGAGCTCCAGTTTCCCCAAGAGAGAGATGAGAACTATGGAGGCAGACTCTGGTTAGTCCCCCCCACCAAGTCTCCAGGGATGTCTGCCTACACACTAAAGTATTGTGGAAATGGGTTACTTTTCAAGGTTTCCTACAGGGTATGAATTCCCCAAGCAGGTTGAAGCAGGACGACAGTAAAGAGAGCTGGAGACACCACAGAGCTGGAGGACAAGGGGACCACCCAGATTACAGTGATGACAATATCCTCAGTAGTAAGGGGAGGGGCCAGATATGCAGCAACTCCCTTATGAACAACTTTCCAAGGCCTGTTGTCGTAGAACAGATAATCTCATGATGATACAGTTATGTAGACATCCATCTTGTAAACAGACCCAAACCTCAACCCAACACTTTGTGGTATCATCAGCTCTTATCCAGGGAATTAGAGACAGCTTCAGGGACCCTAAGTAACCAAGGAAGGGAAGGGCATTATGAAGTTATAAAAAGCACACTGGTGCTTAAGGAAGAGAACTCAAATAATATCATGAGCTTCATGGGGCCACGCCATGGGAAGTCTTGCAAATACAAAATGTAGTTTGGATTTTATCCAGGATGACACAGATAGTCTTTGAGGACACCTGGGACATAATCTGATTGACAGCCAACCAAGGATAGGTTTCAGGAGATATGTTTGAGTTCAGGTGCCAGTTAGGAAATTGCAGAGGTCATGGAAGAGGAAGAGGACCAAAGCATTGTGTACAGTGACTTTTCTTCTGGACCTAGCCCGATGCTGTTTTGGACTTTGCCTGTGTAGCCATGGCAACTGGAGCAGAACAATACTGTGGTAGGTCTATGGTAATGGTAATGGGGCTGCTAACATTCCCTGGTGGTTGTCAAGACAGTGCTGCCCAGAAGCCTAGCTCTTACGTCTTTCCCCAGCTTCAGGAAATTTAGGGGAGCTACTATCATCTATTAGAAGTAAAGATTAATTGAAAGTGGGATTCCATAATGCAGCTTTCATGAGACCCATCAGCCATTCAGAGCAGCCATCCATGATGGGATGTGTCTTAGTGGCGATGTGGCTGTTTGGGGGTCACTCATGTTCCTGTAAATAATACCTCACCCACGCTCTCTGAGAAAACCCCAATAAACTCCTTGGTTCCACCAAGTTGAACTTTGATAAAATGGTGCTTCAGTCTGTCCTAGGTGTCCATCTTTGCATGACTGGGCATGCAGTTTTATCTCCCAAGGAAAAGATAACACAACAGACACTGATGAGCGTTCTTCACCAGGCTCCTTCTTACATAGACAGATGCGGGGGGGGGGGGGGGGGGGGGGGGGGGGGGGGGGGGGAGGAGGCCATCTCAGATCCACATGCGGAGGAAGTCTTCATTCCAGGTAGTCTATCAGAAGGACTGGGCTTCTGTATCCAATAATAAATTTGCCTTTGATTGTTCCCCAAACCCTGCTTTCGCCATTCCCAATATACTTATCAAGGAAATGAGCCAAGCAAGCTCCAGTAGAGTAGGTGGTTGGTGGGTTGGAAAAGATGCTGGCAGAGGGCATGCGGGCCTTCTGCTGGGGGTTGGATGTTGCGGGGGGGGGGGCAGGGGGGGGAATGTTGTGACGGCGGAACCTGTGTGATTCTGCCGTGTATTGATCAAGCCCCATTTGCCCGTGAACCTCATCATCAGCTCCTGCTTAAGCCCACACTTCCCGAGTAATTGACTCTCGCATATTGATTAAGATGTTGATGTGTCCCAGAATTTCTTGGTGGTGATGCAGGCACGCCTCCCGGCAGGCTGGCTTGGCAAGGCTCTCACTGTAAGGCTGTCACCGCTTGCTCCTTAATGGATAAAGCTGTCATCCGAGAGCTGGAATGTCTTGCAGGCACAAAGACGAAAGTAACTGTTCAATAATGTATGGGACATGGAAAAAACTTTACCCAACAACTCGAATTGATTGCTGTAAGTGTTTTGACTGCATTTGCCTGCTTTGCATAAAGTCAGCGACTTTGGCTGGCCCGATGTTCACATACAGCCATTTCTCAGCCTCTTTTAGAGTAAGTGTCAAGAGACGGGTGGCTGCCAGGAAGCATCTGTCTGGGGGCAAGGAGGAGGTGGTGGGGTGGGGAGCAGGTGGGCACCACTGACACCTCTCTGGGGATCTCTGAGTGATCCCTGTTCTTTAAAGCAGTGGGTTCCTGGCAGTTCGATGGCTTCTTGCTAGAATGGCATCTTGGGTGAGTTTGGGGAATCACTGGGTGTGGAATTCCTGGAGCTCTATGACCTCACTTGCTTTAGGCCCTCCTCTCCCTCTCTCCGAGTTAGGCTGATACCTCACAGAGAGCCTGTCAATCAGAGCTGGAGTGGGGCGGGGGCATTGGAGCACAGCATCTACATACACCAGCTTGGTAAACAGCGCACTCTCATTTCCACTCATTATTATCTGGTACTGGTTAAGCGTGTGCTGAGGGTCGCACGGGTTCCAGAAAGGGTGAAAGGTTTCTCTCTGTCCTCTTCCTTTCTGACCCGGAAGAAGAGGAACATATCAAGGCAGCCTGCTTATATGCTCCATCTTTTCTGCCCAGCCCAGTCTTTTAAAAACATAACAAGGTCCTTTGAACACAGCCCTGTTTTATCGCAGGCTCTTTATTGAACTTCTAATCAGCACAAGCAGCTGACAAAATAGGAGATTGCAGATTCGGCTGAGCGTTATGTATCCTCCTCCTCGTGAGTCTAAAAAAAATCATAACATTAAAGGAAGAGAAAATAAACAGGCCCCTTCAAAAAAACAAACGAATCCCACCAAACCAAGGAAATCCTCTCACACCCAGAGGAAAGCCTGCCGCGTGCCTTGCAGACTGCAGCTTGGTCTTTGGAGCCTCTTGGAGGTCGTTTCCAAAAAAACAAATAGTCACCTCGTTTTTGTCACCCACTAGGAGTGAGGGCTAAGCTGCGGGCCCATGTCCAAGGATTCCTCCTTCATAGGCCCAGCCAACCACAGACATGTCTGGCCTCTTGCCTAAAAGGGAAGCGGGACGCAGTCCCTGTCCTGACCCTCTCTCTCGACCCTGCTCCCCATCCGATAGCTCTGGGTGTTGGTATATTGTCCTCGCTTGAGGCCTGCTTGACTCCGTCTTCCTTATTTACTTCTGTTATTCTTGAACAACAATAAAGGTGCGTGTGTGCGGGGCTCTACTTAGTCCTTAAGCGCTGCATGAGGAAGGAGGCACAAACTCCCCTTCTGTCTCACCTGAAACTCAAGGATCAGGGCCCTGGGGCAGCAGCCAATGGACAAGAACCCTGCCTATCACACCAAAACCACTTCTTCCTTTGCAAGAGGCCACTTTGGAGTCAAGGCCAAGGTTGAAGGTAGAGAATTCTGGGAAGGCTTTCTAAGTGCACTAGGGGAGTTTACCACGTAGATTCCTCTGAAGTGTGATGGATAGTTGCCCCTCAATCTTAGGGAAGAGTCATAAATTTAGTCAGAACTACAGTTTATTCTCATGAGTATCTGGCGGAATTGTCCTAGACCTTGGGTGACCAATAGTCAACTCCCCGTTTCGGGCTCAGGGCAATTACATTAAATGACTCGAAATAAGAATAGAAATGATTTCTTCTGAGGACTCTGTCAGTACCGCGTAAAAAAATCATTTGTATCTCATTATGGGACACAAGTGTGCCAGACGGTCCCCAAATGACATTGGATGCTGTTTCCACCACTGGTTATTTCAGGTAACAATCAGCAGGAAAAGATTGTAGCTGCCTGGGTGGTCACTTTTCCAGGGGCTGCTGGGATTGAATCTCCGTCCCCTCCTGTCTCTCATCTATGGCTGTGAAGGGAAATGAACCACTTTTGTACACAGCAAATCCTTTCCTCAGTTCTCCTTCCTTCCTACTCTCCATTTTGCCAGTTGAGTTTGAGAAAGTGAAGGTAAGAGTTACACTTTGGGGTGTTATTTACAGTAAGCATATGGGTGCCCTCTACAACCCAAATTGGGAAGGAGAAAATGAAAAGAAAGAAAGAAAGAAAGAAAGAAAGAAAGAAAGAAAGAAAGAAAACAAAGCCAAACAATGTAACTGTAGCATCTGTTTGCTTTTTCCTCTTTGTGATTCTATGCTTTTTTTGGGGGGTGGGGATGCAAACGCAGTCCCCCACTACCACAAACCATGCAGTTGAGTTTCCCAAATTTGAGGAAGTCGCAGGGGTCAGCACATCCTCTGAAGGGCAGTGGATAAGCCTGGGTCTGGGGAAGCCACCTTCGTGCTCATGGACGCTCCGGGGCCAGGTAAGTATTCTCTGTGTTGTCTCTGAGATGCTCCACACAGGGTCCCCAGGTGGACTATTCACAGTGTTCCCAACACTGTCTGTATCATAACCCGCACCATTCATTCCTGGTGAAAGAACTCTGCTCTGGGTTCACAGAGCGGACACGTTGGTGAGCTCAAGGTAGCAGGCAGGGTGCAGCCCAGGCAGGCAGGATGGGAAGCAGTTTCTGTTGATGGTGTGTGGCTGTGAGCCTTTCTGCCGCTTCGACTAAGACAGCGAGCAGTGCCTGTTTGATGTCTGGTCTTTGGGAAGGAGACCCAAGAGAACATGAGCTGGGCTTGTCTGAAAATCAAAGTCCAAATTAAAAATTTATTCCAGTGTTTGAAAAACTCCTGGCCAAAACCTTCATATGGAAAGAAAAAAAAAAAGGTACAAACTCTCTGGTTTCTTCAGCATCTCCAGTTGAGGACTAGAAGATTTATTTTTAAAAATAATCAACTAACAGCAAAGGGCAAATAGTTCTGTAAGCGGACCCAGGTCAGATAGCTTTGCTAAAGCTTCAAGGGAAGCTGTCTGTTTAACCACTTTGGGCAAGTGGGAAGCTACATGTAGTTTAGTAATCGGTTTTGAATCCTCTTCTCCTTGCCTGTTTGATCATTTGGTTCTTCTCTCAAACTGGAGGACAGAGAACAAGAAAAGGCTCCCATTATCCAGCCCCGCCCACTCCGCAGCCCCAACCACTCCGCAGCTTCGCCCACTCTGCAGCCCCGCCCTCACTGTGTTCAGCAGAAAGTCGTAGGGGAGGATTATTTTTTTTGTATAAAATGATATTTTATTTAGCTAATATACATTTAATATTTAAAATGTAAATACAAATTCCAATAAGATACAGATTCCTACTTTCCAACATATAGCCGATATGACTAAAAGATAGTCGTATAAGACCTCTAGTAAATAATAACATTAATTTTATCTTTATTACTATGGAGACTCAGTAAATAGAATTACATTGAGGAAGGATTTTATATTAGGATAAATACCATAATTTCTTAATATTAATATTTTCATAATGGGCTTAAAATATCAAGATATAAGAAGGAATCAAGTAAATAGTATAGATTCACTCAAAATATTATTTATTCTTAATTTTCCCTGTTTTGATCACTTTCTTAACTTTTAAAAAACATCATAGATCTATATGATTAGAAAATGTCCCCAATTCTGGTTTGACATTTTCCCATCCATATTCTGCATGTAATCTGTTTCTGACTATGTTGGTTATGACTGAGAACCGTATGAAGACAGAAGTGTATTTACTGCTCGAATTGGCTGTGTGAACTCCAGAGGACAGGGCCTAAAAATAAGACAGACTAAAGTCTCATGCTGATGCATTTATCTAAATATTGTTTATCAATAATACACCAGGAGTCAGATATCCAGGTAAGAACTTGAAAGATCAGAGTATCAACAAAGCAGCCACCAGTGACTTCCTGTCTCTTCCATAAAGACAGATCCTCTCTAAGACCCACCTTGCTATTTCTTCAGTCCTCCAAAACTTCTGTGGTTAATTTTGGTCAGCTAGTGGCTAGGTCTGTCCTCTGATTCAAAACAAACTTTACTATCAGAATGCAGTCAAAATATCACAAAACAACATCGTGCAATAGTCAACTTTATCCAGGGGATCAGGCAATTAATACTCAGAGGGCCGAGAGAGGTCTTCTAAGTAAAGGTTGTAGCTGAAAGTCTTTCCTCTGTCCATTCTGGTCCCAGTGGACCGGTTTTCTCCCACCTGCCAGTCCATAAGCCACTTATGAAATAATGATTTGGAGGCTTAATATTAACTATAGTTGTTTGGCCGATGACTCAGGCTTCTTATTGGCTAGCTCTACATATAAACTGACCCATTTCTAATAATCTGTGTATCACCACGTGCCCTGTGGCTTACCAATAATGCTCTGGGATCTTACTCTTCTGGTGGCTGCTGGGATCTCCTCAACTCCGTATTCTTTTTCCCTGTCTCTCTACATAGATTTCCTCCCTAGCTAGATTCTGTTCTTCCATAGGCCAAAGTAGCCTCTTTGTTACCAATGGTAAGAAAACATATTCACAGCATACCGAGGGAACCCCTCATCAAAAGGTATCACGAGTTCAAGCTGTGTGCAATCACAGGGACAAGCCACAGGTGGCAAACATGTTTTTCCATAGAGGCACACAAGGATAATTTAAACATTTAATTGAATAATATCAGCAATCAATAATGAGCAATCTGAAGTAAACTCACTTCTATCCACTCCAGCTGGGAGGAACACTAAACACACTCCAAGAACAATTCTGTCCTTAGAAGAATCTGCGATCGATCACAAGATCTGATCCTTTTTTCTTGGAGTTTTCTTACAAACTCTCAGAAATACCCTCAAACAGCTCCTTTCTTAGGGTGCCCCAAAAGTAGAGGAGTGGAAAGGCTCTACACATTGCTATTTTACTATCTCCTGATTAGAAAGCTCACTAATCAAGATTCTTTGTGAATTACTGCCTCTGGCTGTATCTATAGTATCGCTACTTAAATTGAGGACCCACAAATCTCTACCTATAGAGAAATCTTCAAGTTTGCCATACTGGTACACACCTATGATTTCAGCATTTGAAGCACAGAGGCAGGTAGATCACAAGTAGGCAGCCTGGTTTCACAAAGTAAGATCCTTCTCTCTCTCCTCTCTCTCTCTGTCTCTCTCTCTGTCTCTCTCTGTCTCTCTGTCTCTCTCTGTCTCTCTCTCTCTGTCTCTCTCTCTGTCTCTCTCTCTNGCACGCGGATGGAATGGAGTGGGGGGAGGGGGAGAGGAGTGGGAGAAGGGGGAGGGAAATGGGAGGCGGGGAGGAGGCGGAAATTTTTTCAATAAAAATAAAGAAAGAAAGAAAGAAAGAAAGAAAGAAAGAAAGAAAGAAAGGAAGGAAGGAAGGAAGGAAGGAAGGAAGGAAGGAAGAAAGAAAGAAGAAAGTGATCAAAACAGGCAAAATTAAGAATAAATATTTTGAGTGAATCTATTCTATTTAATTGATTCTTTATATCTTGATATTTGGGGAGGATTTTTTTAAAGCTGTCAGTTGGGGAGGAAAATAAAGATGGCAGACCAAACCACTCATTAGCACTGATGAAACTATGGACATTTTATTATACAGCAATGGGTTAAAGAAAAGAGTGAAAAATAAACAATAAAATTCAATCAGGCCATTAAGCAAATTATTTTAGGAAAAAAATAGAATTAACCCAATATGAGAGCCTTTTTAGTGAGGTGTTGGAGAGAAGAAACCAAGTCTAAGGGCAAAGCAACCAGAGGAAGGGGTGGGACCAAGACTCGTCCTTCACAATGAAAGCAGCGGGTAGAAAGGGAGAGTAGAGGAGCCTGGTCAACAGACAAAGCCAAGGGCAGTCAGCCCTGGCATGACTAAGGCGCAGCACTCTGCAGAACTGAACCCAGGCTCCCAGGTGAGTTTGCACAGGTCCTCTAGCACAAGAGCTTTGCTAGTCTAGTGTGTAAGCTTTACATTTTAAGTTTAACTTGGGTACAGTTTCCTACTTAGTTTATAGTTTGATAGACTTTGTGTGAACCCACTCACTTCTCCACCACTCTGATCTGGTCATGAGATAGGGCCCTCAATGCAGAGCTGTGTTCCCCAACCCCATTCTCCAGAAGAAGTCCCCCTTTAGATATCTCTCATCACTTGTTTTCTCTCCCCCACTTTTTTTTTTTGAAGGGCACTTAAGGTCATAAAATATTTTTATTGCGTCCTCCACTCATTTAATATTATATTTATATGATTTGTATTTATATTAGACAGGAAGAGGAAATTTGTTTATTCTCACTGATTTAGAACACTCCATGTCTCCATATGTAGTTTATAGAACTGTAGTGTAAATAGGCATTTACAGGCTTCCATCCAGTCTTTTGCTAGTAAAGAGGGCATTGCTATGAACATTCTTGTGTATATCTTTTGCTGTCTGTACGCATTTCTGTGGTTCTGTTCCTAGGGCAATGGCTGAGTCATATGGTGTACATATGTTAGCTTCAGTACACACCACAGAGTCTCTCTCAAAGCTGATGCACCTGGCAACCTTCACACTAACTGTGAGGGCTCCCTGCTGTCCACATCCTCAGTATTGTCAATTTACCTCCAATTTATAGCAAGGGGCTTCAACTGAATAGTGACTTAAGTTTGGACTGATGAATTTGCATATTTTCCAATTTTTTTAAATAAATTGAGTTATTTTATTTTGTAAAGAGGTATTTTCTATTTTTGCTTTATATAAGAGATCTTAAATATTCCAGATATAAGACATGTTTGCATGCTTACAAAGGAGTTATATGTATGTCTGTGCAGGTGCGGTGTGCATGTATGTGCAGGTGTGGTGTGCATGTGTGTGCAAGTGTAGTGTGCATGCGTGTGCAGCTGCAGTGTGCATGTGTTTGCAGGTGCAGGGTGCACATGTGTGCAGCTGCAGTGTGCATTGTGTGCAGCTGCAGTGTGCATTGTGTGCAGCTGTGGTGTGCATACATGTGCAGCTGCAGTGTACATGTGTGTGCAAGTGAAGATACAGTGTGCAATGTGTGCTTGTGTAGGCACAAGGTTTCTGTCAGGTGTCTTACTCAGTTTCTCCCACCTTCTTATATATTGAGGCAGTTTCTCTCTTTTTGAAAATAGTATTTTTTTATTAATTCTTTGAAAATTTGTATTTGATCATATTCACATCCCCTCCCACTGTTTCCAAATCTAATTTCCCTCCATACACACCCAACTGTGTAATTTTTTTTCTGAAACCATTGATTTTGGTTTGTATTATCCAAATACTCCTGAGTGTGGGCCCTGCCCTGAAGCTTGGCTCACCTACCAGCAGTCACGCCCCAAAGGAAGATTTGCCCTCCTCCTCTAGCAATTGTCCATTGCAATACCTCCTCAGCTAGGGATGGCATTTTGTTCCACCATCCCTCTCCATTTTGTCTGGTTTGAGCTTGCACAGGCCTTGTGCCTGC